TCTCCGTGGAGAGGAAGTGACACGAGTCACGGGTGAAGCTAAATGTCTTGACTGTGTCCATGCCCCCTCTGGCCACACGTGGCTCCCACTCTCCCCCTGTCAGAGTTCATCTCTGCTCCTCTGAATTCCGCAGCTCGCAGTCCTTCAGGGGTTTGTGTTCCAATAAGCTGCCATCCTCAACTAACCCAGAGGAACAAGCATATTAATTACAGGTCAATGTTCTGCAGTGCAGCGCCAAAGCACTTTCTGCCTCTCTTCTGTGCATAAGAGCGCGGCGTTCTATCCTCTTTTTTTTTTACCTCTTTTCCACCTCATCTGTCCGTCCACATGGCAGCGCTTTTTAAACTTTAATGGCCAAGTGTTCTCGTTTGATCATACTTGTAAATGGTTTTCATTTTAATGTTTAAAACATTGTCTCTCTTATACCATTAGACTGAGGGATGGATGGATGGGAGGAAACAGTCGGGCATAAATCTTGGATGAGGGATCTGCACTAATGTAAGACGATGCCAGGCTACATGTAAAGCAGTGTGTTTTCTGGGCACGCCGATTACAATAATGACAGCGCGGCGCAAAGTGCACGGGGAAAAGGCTCCCTTCATGTGTGGAAATAGACGGACAGATGCCTCGAGTGAGGAAACCTGGAGGTAGAAGCCTAATGGACACAAACATGCATAAATAACAGCAGCCAGCGCTGTGGGCAGAGCTTTTAATAAACCCGGCGTGTGTCTGTCTGCCCGGCCCTTCAACGTGTCCATCAGTGCTGGACCATAATGGGCCCAGCAGGCCCGTCTCACTCGCACTTCACCACATCTTCCTCCCGGTGCATGAGGAACAACCTGGAGGCTTGGTGCGATCTGATGAACTGACGGACAAACACACTGTCAGGGAGTCAGGGAGTCAGGGAGTCAGGGAGTCCACACTGACAAACAAACCCACCAGTTCTCAGGCCCAGTCTGCAGAGGAAACTGTGAAAAAGTGTAGAAAAAAAACCCCCAAAAAAACACTGCCACCGTGGCAGATTTTTTTTTTTAAATGTAAGGACTGACAGACTGCCTGTTC